ACATTCCGCTTGTTTTCTTTTTTGTAGTTGACATTAGTCATAAATTGTAAGCCTCCTGACAATCAATATTTGACAGATTGTTATCATATAACTTTAGCTATAGCCTATATTATCGGAATAACCTACATACTTTATCTAATATACCTACTTTACCCAAAATCGTCCTGAAACCTTCAATTTTCATGCCTACTTTCTGTCAGGAAATTTTAGTTTCCATGACAGAGGCAGAGCAGACTACGTTTCCTGCCGCTTGTCACTTTACCGGCCGCATTTGTGACATTTCCAAATGTCTATAATGACTCCTGTCATCACTGACAGATTAACAATAATCAAAAGTTCTATATACAAATTGAAATATTATATTAAAATACGATTTCGGGTAAAATTGAATACAAAACTCGTCAGTAAAATGACATTAGATACCTGACTCGGAAATTACTCGGCTCCAGAGGGACCTCGCACTTCAATATTTCCTCGCCAGTAATGTGTCATTTTCCTGACTTTTATGTAAATAACTATTGTAGTCTAAGATCCCACATAAGGTCCACCTTCGCCCATCTGTTTACCGGGCGAAATACAATTTTTAGCAATCTTAAAATGTAAAGAAACACATTGCAAATGGGTTGTCAAGACTACTCTTAATTAAAATTAATCTAATTAATATTTCTGTCTGCTTCTATCACATAGAGAATTTAAATTAAGGGTAGTTTTGACTTAATTTTTTAGGAAACCCATTCCCAATGTGCTTGTTTACATATTAAGTTTGCCAAAAAATGTATTTAGCTCGAATAACAGATGAGCGACGGTTGTGGGATCCTGTAGGTACTATTAGAAAATGTTGCAAAAAAGAACTATATTCAAATTATAAAAAATAAGAAATTCCGGATACCTTCATAATTTATCCACAGAAAATACTCGGGAAGTATTTCCTAGAAGTGTTGATCCACTTCTCAGACAGAAATTAAATCAAGTCATTAGCGTATAGCTAATTATACTGCAATTTCGATACGATTACATTTAACTAATTAAGACGATTTCATAAAATCATTTAATAATCTTAATGGCTCGGTCACCCGGCAATTAGTACCTAGGTACATTTTTACCATCAGGTGAGCACTGACTTCGGCCATTTTTACTTATTAGCATCGTATTAGCGCAATTACATGACACCAGTAATAGTTTAATCATAGCTTCTAATTTAAACATCGAAAATTACATATTATGACATGGATCATTACTAAACTTAGTTGAAATAATTGATTTTAGATAACAATCTCGCCGCCAACACTCTCGGTAAAGCGTATGTCTCAATGGTAAAGCTATGCACACACGTTATATACCTACAAAAATAAACACTACGAAAATAATAAGTGACCCAAATTATTTTATAGGCCTAATTGACATTTAATTTGCTTATTACGTTACGAATTTTTAACATGGGTTGAGCTACAATGATTTAGCATAGGAAAATGGGGATTTTTTAATTTCTATTTAGTGGGTACCTATATACATTAGAGTTGATGTATATAAATAACCTTTTGCTTTGATGAGTTTAATAATGTTTATGATTACCTAACAATTTTTCTGAATTATAAATGAAAATTCATTTTTGTGGTAAATAATTCGAATCGTCTTGGAAGCTATAGCTTTAAATTACAGGTACTTACATACGTTGATTATATTTTTGCACTTTACATTGAAAAAAACTTGAATCTTCTCTGAGCTCTTCTACGTACATACGGTTCGAAGGGTTGCGTAAATCCCTTTTAAGACTTCTTTAATTATTAACCATTCATAGACTTCATGATAACTCAATAATACACTACCTTTTTTCTTTTGTGCTGTAAAAGTTTCGCCAGAAAAACCTACCGTTTGGGAATTATTTCGATGTTTTGCTAACTTCGCACACTTTTGTCGGCACAAATCTCGGTGGTAGGTACGTTTGTGCCGTAAAAAGTTCGCCAGCAAACCACAGCGCTTTGAAGATTATCCCAAAATGCTTATGGAACGTCGCAAGGGCCATAAACTTTCGCTTAACTTGTTCGCCGATCTTCCCGATTTTGTCCCGGTAAAAGACGCGTTCCTTCCAGATCTCTCCATAAATATTACAGCACCGTAGGCGCCGTTCACCAGCCATTTTGTTGACTCCAAATCTTGAAGTTGATATTGATATCTGAATAACCCGGAAAACATGCATCATCAGTTACAAAAATATCATTTTCATTTGAATCATCTTCCAAATTAATGATTAGTGGGGTATCTTCTCGATCTACCTTCACTTTTGATGATATTGTTCTTATCAATACCATTAGTACGTTACCTGCATCGAATAACGAATAAGATTAGAAATAAGTTGCTTACTTTTTCTTTGTAAACCCGATGGAATTTTTGGTTTATACAACTTTTGGCGCAGAATATCGCAGTGAGACGGAAGTTATGCTTTTTTTATTGTTCGTTATGAAACTAACGAATTTTTGATCGGCTAATGTAGCAAAACGCGATAAGATAATGAAGACGGTAGCAAACCGAACAGAAACTTTGACCAAAGCTTTTTGGTTTTGTGTTTTAAATAACGCACAACTCTACTTCGAACACCTATATTTTGTGAAATAGATTGATCATTCTAACATAAACACGTAATGCCAACGTTTATTGTGTTAAAAATGATTTTTTTTGTTAATATGTTGGCATTACAATATTCTCCAAAAACAGAATTGATCACGTGCGCACAAACTAAAGAAGATCCTACTTTATAAAGCAATTTTTATTGATACACCTCCTTATGAAGAAGAACCAATCCGGATTTCCGTAGAAATCAAGTATGTCCCATGCTAGTACATAGTAATCTGAAATCTTCATCACTTGGCTGTACTGCATTGTTTTAGACGCTTTCTGTTAGCACGTTGAGATTTTTAGTTAAATTTCATTCTATGGTAACTTTAAATAACGCATTGTCTTCCTCGATCCTAGGTCCTTTGTGTTGATGTTCTACCCAGCCTTTGGATCTTTCTTGTAGGTCTATATCATCTCTACGTCTTTTTCTTCTTAAAACTTGCAATACTACTTTCATACTCGCCTCCTGCAATAGATTCGATTTACGTATTCTGATGATTTCCCTTTTCCTTTCCAATAATCGTTTTTGTGCTTCTGCTTCGGCTTCAGCTTCCCTTCTTGCGGCGATTTGTTCTTCCTTTTCTCTAACAAAGCTTTTCGTTCCGCTAATTCAGCTTCTCTTATTTGTTTAATCGGGCTGTCTTTACTAGTTCTACTACTACTTTTTTTAGTCATCCCACTCGAAAATTGCCCATTCACCTTAGGCCTTTTTGATGTTTCGTTTAACACTGGGATTTTTCGTTCCCTTATCACCGGGTAAACAAATTCCCTGCACCTCCTTCCTCCAGGAGTACCTGATGTCTTCAATCCATGAACCGAGACGTTCCGGCGGTTTTTCAGTGCTATATCCCTTACTGGGCGATCTAGTTATCCATGAAAATGATAAAAGTACATAATAGTATTTAAAACAATTACTGAAACTAGGACTTATTTCAGTAGGTTGTTAACAAAACAAGAATAACGGGTGAAATAAGTAATACATTCGAAAATATCTTACAAGTTACAATAGATACCTATGTTAAAGAAGGCGTTCAAAAACGTTTCCATTTTTTTCAGTAGAAGGTACGTAAAATGCATACAAACATCTTATCATTTTCTAGGATAACTATATCGAAATGAAAATAATTGAAAATCTCGGATATTTGAAGTTATTTTGGCTATGGTGCATTGTAGAGAATTTTATAAAGCCGCCACATGGTGTAATAATATACAGGGCCACATTTGCGCTATTACATGAAAAATGCGATGTTATTTAGTTATTTAATTACAGATTCCGGTTCATGAGACAAAAATACATGATTTTTGCCATTTAACCGCCTTTCTAACTCTACAACTAAGAAAGTTAGCAATAGTGCCAAATTAATTAAAATAGACTTCATATTATTTTTTTCACTACTAGTACTTGAAGTCATTTACATATTTTCAAAGAGTAATTTGGTTCAAATTTTTTCAAAATGTGACAGTTTTGTACCTATGTAATTTTTCTAGAAATGAAGGAAGTTGCAATTATTGATTTTAGAGATCTCGTCTACCTCCTTAGGTTCAGTAAAATAATCTTGTATATGGCTATGGCTACCTACAGTACAAAAAAAACTTTTAACGGTACAGATTTATTAGTTTGTTATTCAAATACACAGTTATTTTTGATGATTATTCAAAACTCAAAACCGAACATAAGGGCTTGCATTATACGTTCACTTTTAAGAAAAACTCACTGTATGTTTTTTGTTATATTGGCATAGAAAATAATGCCAAGTGTAATTAGGCGATTCTGCCAAATTAGCGGAAGACGTTAGAAGATCTCAAATGTGACACCTTACAGATCAGCAGCGTGCATCGAATTTGATTACGCAAATAATGGGAAAGGTTGCAATAAATAAAATTAATATTTTTAAAACCCAAACGAGTAGGACGAATAATAAAACCCACACTGCAGTTTAATAGTCGAAATTTCCATATACAATCCATCTACGATGTAATAGAAGTTTGCTTATAAATAAAAAATAAATTTTACACTAATTAGCTATAGTCGTCTGTGGAAAATGCTGAAAGAGTAGATGCGAAGGATGCTCTTTCTTGTTATTTTATTATCCCCAATTACAGATACGGCGCACGAATTTTATTTTTAGGTTAGCAGCAGGACAAATAATCAAATCCTGGACGTCGAACAATAACAGCTTATTAGGTAGAATTGTAGAAGTTTGTTTGAGTAGTCCTGGTGGGAAATTTTACTTTAATTAGCCTGTAACTCCCACCGTATATACTGTTACGGAGTTAATTGGGAAAGACGTTTATAATTTGTTATTAAGACGAGTTGCTTATCCATTATTTGGTGACGTAATTTCATTGATCAATGTGCTCGTTTACAGTCTAAATTTTGGTTTCAGATAAATGCTTATCGCTGGACAGACCTACGGGTGGAAGTAAAGGGAAAAAGATGCGAAAACCAAGAACGATATATTCAAGTCTTCAACTTCAGCAACTAAATCGAAGGTTTCAAAGAACACAGTATTTAGCGCTCCCCGAAAGAGCGGAACTAGCAGCAAGTTTAGGACTAACACAAACGCAGGTGAGTTTTGACCGATCCAATGCATCATGGAAGTGTAATTTTTCATCGCTCCTCTCCTGTACTAAAGGAAGCAATTAATAAACGTAACAAAGTGGAATAAGTGCTGAAATTAATTTATGATTATAGAAATTTATCGTATATGCACGGCCGCATCAACGTTTCATTTCAGAAAAGGAAATGTCAGGACTAAAACCTAACATAAGCGCTTCGTCCTCGATTGATTTGGAAACGCTTCTTCTAACTGACATTATGCTATACACCGAGAAAGTTTCTTGTTATTTTATTATACCATTTACGTATACGCATTGCAAAGTTCTTTGCCTTTTTATTGATTTTAAATGAGAACGAGGTTACACTAACGCCATAAATTCGGTTATAATAATTTCAAAAATTTTACGATAAAAATTAACGTCTTCCCAAGGCAATTAAAATCCTCGCCGTGTCCGTGTGATACAATTTTCTTTCGCATCCACCGAATTAATGATTGTATCACAGTAGTCAAAGTAATAACGCCAACCCATCACTCATTTGCTTTAATTTATTTTCCATTATTATTTTATTCTTTTTTATGCGTCTACTTGATGTAAACGTAATCGGCCGGAACAAAATAAGAAGAAACGGACACATAAAATAACCTTCCTTGTATATACGCTTGCTATATAAGCGAAGGTGCAAGTTATTTGCCCCTTTTTTCGTCGCGTATAACGTTTCCTTTCATTACCCCTCCTCCACCCCCTTGGGAATCGTTGCAAGATTTTTACAATCTTTGGGGCACTATAACGGACGGGCGGAGATGCTTAGACAAAATGCTTTACTGATGGTTACAATTCGGATAGATACCTTGTTACCTATTTTAGGTAAACTTTATATACAAAATGAGAATATTTTAAATAACCGCAGACTCTACTTAAGTAGCATAACGAGTATAAATACGAAACGCAAACTTGACTGCTGCAGAACTTAATATTTATTCCAAAATCCATATTAATGTCCACAAAGAACTGCAAGAGAGAAACGTAAAATTACCGTCGTTCATCAGTATCATAAAACAGGCAACCAAAGCTGTACAAAAGTTGTTATTTTTGAGAGTGTAGCCGAAGGAAGTTTCATTAAACCCCTCTAATTACAGTCTGATTTTGAAAAGTTGAGGTTGATTGATATGAATATGTGTGACATAACCAATATTGTCAGTACCATTGAATACTAAGTTTTACATTCAAAATCAACACAAAGCAATTTCCTTTATTATTAAAAAAAAGCAAAAAGGTAACTTATTTCGTAACGCCCACACCCAACCCTACACTTTCCACATTGTGATCTCTAACGAACTTTGTGTATTGTTTTTTGTCCCGATCTAGCGTGGAGGAGTCGGTTTCATTCCCCCGGTAAAAATGGGGCCATCGAGTATCTGAATCGATAATTCGGTTATGCATTTGCTTTTATACATGCGAAGAATTTATGCCTTTTTAATTGCAATAAAACATGTTTCCGATCGGAGTTGTTTTTTTTATTAACACTGTTTTGTCTGCGCAGCAGGCGCTCCTTAAATCTGATATGTCGAAGAAGAAAATTATATGTTACCCCAGAAAATATTATAATAAATTCCGATAATTATCATTATTACATGCTCGGTAAATGTTTTATTATATTTGTTCATAATTTTTTACCTGAGTACCATACAATTTTTCAGTAGTCACATCATGTTGAAGTATTAATCAACCAGGACCCTTCTTATGCATGTGTACAAACATGCATTCATTATTCCATGCATTAATTTTAAATTAATTACTAAGCTGTATGAAATTTTATATTAGAAGATTCTTTGTTGGTTTCATATCTTAATAATCAACAATCTAGTACATCGTATTTATTTCCATCGCATAAACATAGCTACGAGAAATTTATCGACAATGTCTTTAAACGGTCACTTCCGGCAATACCGGAAGTCGATGCTAATTTTCTTATTTTAAATGGAATACTCTACATATTATTTAATTTTTAGATTCTGTGTATTCTAAATATATTTCCTGTTTAATGCCCTATAATCTACATTTAGCCCTTTTGACATATTTTGAGGATAAATAAATACATGGGGTTTCAAAACTTATATCAATAATTGAATTGAAAAATTAGAAACCCCTGTTTGATAACGGCATCTTATAGGTAAAAAAAATAAGGGTATCTTTGAGTAAAATTTTCGGAATATTGTTTATATAATATTTTGTCTACTGCAAAATCCTGTTATGTACGGCCTTAAAATTAGCCGTGGCTGGTCGTATTGCTGGCGAAAAACAAAACAATCCAGCACTAAAGAAATGGCAAAAAAGCCGTAGCCAACTAATATTCTTAAAACCTTACTTATAGCATTTTTATGACGGAGAAAATTTTAATAGCCAATATTTCGAAGACTAAATTTTTCGGAATAACCTACTATACCTACAAAGTTACCAATATTTATTGTACTTCATAAGACATACTTGCAAAATAGGGTTTCCATTAAAAAAAAACTTATTTTTGACGATTTTTTTAAATTCAATTTTTAATGTGAGTTTTTGAACCCCCTGTATTATATACCAGTGTTCAGTTAGCCCCTCCTGCTTTGGAGGAAGTATAAGGCACACGTTAAAAAAAATTCCGGACAAACACACAGTTTAGGCTGTACCTATATGCATTTGATGATATTCAAAATAACAACACAGTTCGCTAAAGCGGAACCTCTTCTAAGACACTAGTACAAATTTCACTGTAAAAATTCATTTTTTGTAAAGAATAAATTAGTTTCGCGGTTAGCTATTAATAGTTACTCGACGTTTCTTTGCTACCTTTATCAAGAGTTTTTTGTTAGATTTCGTAAATGTCAATCAATTGAAACTGTATATCTAAATTTGAAGTGTTCTTAGCTTTTTCTGTTTTTTTGTGACTGGTCCTCTGTAACCATCAATCAGATACCGATACATAGGCCATGATTACACCCTTTGATTGTCTTCTTTATTTTATCTAAAGAGTAGCCATTTTGATGCAACATTTTGTTCAAGTTTTTGAAGTGCTTCTTTTTTTGAGCAATCGTCAGTAAGACGAAAAGATCTATTTTCTAAAGATTTTATTACTGCGTTTATTTGGCTTGGATGATGATGTGACGTAGTGCTTCTCTTGAGAAAGGGAGTAAATTATAAACTAATTCCCAGTTACAACTGTAAATTAGTGTAATTCCCAATTACAACTGTAAATTATAAACTCATTCCCAGTTACAACTGTAAATTAGTATTGTTCCCAGTTACAACTGTAATTTACAAAATAATTTCCTATGTGTCCTATCCAGAGCTTCGTCGTTACTCGCAAATAAAATGCCGCGTTTAACTTACATTGGTTCGCCTTGAAGGTTCGACGAAGAATCTCTTTCCATTCCAATTTTTCTTCGTCATTACTCGACATTTCACAAACCTGAAGCAAACCAAACGAAAACCAAGCTTCGGATACGTTTTTGATACACGTAAAGGTATCACGTTTCGTAAGAGCGGTGTTTAAAACCAGCAACACTGTGACCTTTCGACTTTTATCTGCTTGCACACTCGTTCCTTATCCGAAAGCGCTTCATTCTATTGCAGTTTGCATTTTCAGTTTGGTGTTATCATCATAACTGAACCTGCTCCTATTGGCCTTTTAATTCCTGCGCTACAGTATCTAAAAGATCATAGTGTAGTTGTGTTTATGTCATCCAGCTTCTGCGTACTTATTTATTCCACAGCGGATGTCAAGATAGGTAGTAATATACAAGTAGATAATAACGAAGTAAAATGCATAAAAAAAGAATAAACCAGAAGATAAAAGCCATACGACCATTATAACAACGCAAAGTCGAAGAAAGATATGACCTGTATATTCTTTACAAGTTACGTTTGAATCTGTTCTTCAGTAGTTCAGGGAGTACGCACGCAGAAAATTAAGGGTATATAATTTAAGAGAAATTCAATAGTCAATATGGAGAAAAGGGGGTTTCATTGTGAAGTTCTTTTTCACAAAATAACTTCCAACAAGATGGCAAGATGCACCTACTATTGCATAATATTATAAATAACATTTGCCGTAAATGTGATAAGTTGATAACCGTTCCGCAGAATCAGAAATCAGTATGTCTGAAATCAATGTATCACTTTTCAATTATATCCTTTATTTCATTTCTCAGTCTTTCATCTTTGCAACTTAGCAATTCTTTCGAATGTGGTTCAAACTCCATACCGGACAACTGAAGTATGAACTATCAACGTATTAAAATGAATTTTTTCTATTTGGTTAGTTGGTTAGTTTTTCAGTTTTAAACTCTCACCTCTCCTTCCTCCGGAACAAATACAGAAAAGCATGTTTTAGGTAGAATTTGACAAAAGGAAAATAAAACAGTTGATAATTAGAAGGAAATTACATCAAATAAGTATTTGTTAGCATAAATTTATATAGAGGGTTGCATTGTCGTTAACCATTTTGGTAACAAAACGCGCGTCGAAGGCTCGTTAGTAGATCAGGTCGAATGTCAAAGGTTTCCTCTTCCCTATAATTAGTACGACACGGTGTCTAGTGGTGGTATTGAACTAAATGTATATGCGACGTGAATTGGTTAGTTGGGCATTTATTAATTCCATCAAGAAGCTTATTAAAAAATTGTAGGACAACGACTAGATTGCACTTCGAATTGATTGATTCAATTTACGTAGTGGGGTGTTTCCTCTCGATAAATATGAAATTGAAATAAATGCGTAAAGAGGGACGAACTAAATATATCATACGTCTCCTGGGTATTAATTATTAATTAATTATGGCTTTATACCGTATTATTTGTGTAGGGTGATTGAGAAAGCACGAATTAAAAATAGCTTTGACTTTCATAAATGTATTATTGTAGGGCGAATTTTGAATAAGTATTTTGCTAATTAAATAGTAGGTACCTATTGTTACAGGGTGTGTTTATACATAGACTGGCGATAAACTAATTTACTATTACACTAACTGGGTTTTCATGGATCATAAATTGTGTTCCTAATTGGTATAGGTACGCATATACCTGGCCATCTCTCTGTCAATAAAAATTACACCTTACAATCGGAAACAAACATTGTACGTATTTTAGGTGCATAGTTCGCTGGCCTAATGTAATATTATAAAATGCGATTAATTGAAAAAAAGGTTTCTTCTGTCGAA